CCTCCGTCTCGGGCACAAGAACAGTCCCGGTGAGTGTTTGGCCGGCGTGCTGCGTGTGCTGTGAGCCGTGCTCGGGGGGCCACTGCTCTAGCTTCCATACCCCGTCTGTTTGACTCTTTGCTTCGCTTGTTCGCGCCCCACGCAGCCGGAGGAGCTTAGGGGGGGAGGCACACGTCACAGACGAGGCGAGGCTAGCCGGCCGAGCTCTACTGCCATCCAATCCAATTTGCGTATCAAATCGTCGGTCCTCCCCGTCCCACGGCCGAAGGGAAATGGGGAGGGGAACGGGGCGCGGGAGGGGAGCGGAGGCAGGGAGGTCTCATTCGAGCTGTCTTTACCAGAGGCGCGCTCGCGTAAAACAAGCTTTATTGCAGCGGCAACAGCAGCAGCTCGGCTGCAGGCGCGAGGCGGGGACGGGCACACCGGGCCCTAGCCGGGACCCCGCGGCCGTTGGGCCCGTCGGGACCCGCGGGCCGGGGGCGGCAGGGGGGCGGCCGGGGTCCCGCCGGAGGTTCCGGAGGTACGGCCGCTCGGGGTGTCTTATTGCCGGCGCGGGGGGCGGGAGGACCGGCCTAAGCCCCCAGCAGCGCCCCGCTCGGCATCGCCTTAACGCGACCCACTTTGAACGGGAACAAGGCGTTATTTGCGCGCACGTCGCATCCCCCTCCGCTCGCCCCCTCCCCTCTTTTCCACCCTCCTCGCTCACAGCGCCGTGGCGGGCGGGTGCGCTCTGTAAACTCAATCAGACAAGTTGTTTGCGGCTGCGATTAAGGGCCGCTGACGTCCTGCCTTCTATGGCCACGGGCGTGGCGGAGCGGCGACCTCGGCCAAGCGCACTGCAACAAGTAGCATATCCGCGCATCCACGGGCTCCAGCAGCGCCCTCCGGACACACCGCAATGACGTTCCCGGCCCCTTTCGTGCACCACCGGGCCACGACCATCCCTAAAGGCCGTGCGGTGGCTTCGGTCGGTCTACCCACACGACCCCCGGACGTCTCTCTTGCCTCCCAGCTTACGGACGCTCCCCTCCCCCTGGAGGGCGGAAATGCCGCATGAGCTGCTGTAATTAACCCCGTCCGAGCCGCGGGGACGCCCTCCTGCAGCTCGCCGAGCGCGGGGCAGGCTCAGGCATGGACAATTAACTGTCCTGATTTTCAAGCGACCCCCCAAACTTATTTTTCTTTAGAAATATCTTGGCCCCTCCCTCCCCGCCCCTTCCGACCGATAGGTCACCCGGTGAATCATCCCGGTGCAGTTCTTCGACCCCAGCCCAAGCGGTCTCCGTGTCCTTGGCTTGGTCCTTCAATGCAGCCCTCCGCTCCGTGCCTGCGCTATTGTTCCCGTTGCGCGAATGCGACGGCCCGTCCGTGTCCGAAAATGATGATTCGTGCCTTCTTCCCCGCCTCCTGTGCAACGCGCCGCGCGCGACCCCGCAGGAGGGACACGTTTTCTGACGCACCCCCTGGCCTATCCTCCCCCAGGCAAAGAGATGGTGGACTACATTGCCGACTACCTGGAGAACATCCGCAGCCGCCGCGTCTATCCCAACGTCAAGCCCGGCTACCTGCACAACCTGGTCCCGGACAGCGCGCCCTTGGAGCCCGAGAACTGGGAGGACATCTTCAAAGATGTGGAGCGGGTCATCATGCCCGGGGTAAGTATTCCCTCCTTCAGAGACCTTCACTCGTCGCAAAATAAATCAACTATAGAAAAAATGTCGTCCGACAGCTGCAATGCAGGTAAACTGATATTGTCACTACCGGCCCTGCACTCTCCAACCCACCCCCCTCTTTTTTTATTCATTGTGCTCTTCTAAAAATATCCGAAATCGAAAGGTGTCGACCTCCCCTCGCTTCGCATCCTGGGAACCCATTGTGAACTAGCCCTCATCTTGCTTATTAATATGTAGGTACGCGGCGTGAGCGGAGAACTTAACATATTCCTTGGATGCGACAAAAGGCTACCATTCTGACAAAACTGGTTTCTAATCAGGGTAAAGGAAACTTGTTCGCATCCCAACAAATGTGGCAGGGAATACATGAATGGGAAAATCCGCACCCAATGAAGTGTAACATAAACGTAGAAACACTTTATGATCCTAAATATCAGACGAACACTTAGAAGACAGGTGGTTTAAGATTTCACCACACTAGCGCAACAGTAGCTCTGAACTGGTTGGGTATAGGTTCTGAAGTGCTGGACTGGATAAAATACCCTCAAAAAGAGGGATCTCCAACAGAATAAATTCAACCTTCCTCAGCAACGAAAAGGGACATTAAATCTGAATGATGAATGATATTCAAGTGAGATAGCCTGAAGACAATCGTTCCTGCCCAGTTAAAGTATTGAGACTGCTTGTGGTGCAGGAAGTAGCATTGTGAAAGGTGCAAAGGCATATTTGTTCAGTAATTTAATTTTAAAATGGAAAGGAAGTAATATTAATACATTGATGATCCGGATGAGCAAAGTGGATATCGTTCTGACTGATCATAGTACTCCTCGCTGATAAAGCTGTGATACGATCAAATATACGTGTCACATCAATATCAGCGGGAAGCCCATGATAATTGAACTTTCCAAAGAAGAGCAGTGGAGCATAACATGAAGATGTTGTAAGTGGTTCTCCTCACTGATTCTAGCTGTGATATGTTCAATATCAGCATGTCCCAGCCAAACCAGCGAAGAGTCCACAACAACCCGGCCAGCGAAGAGAAGAGGTTAGGTGGCGACTGAGCATCGCCTTGGTGCGTATCAAAGTTGACTGTGATATGATAGCAAATCAACATTTCACAGCCACTTTGACACAGCCACGACGAGCCCCGCGTACAAGACGACCTGGAGAAGAGAAGAAATACATGGCAACACATGCGGCGAAATGTGCGGAGACATCGCTTCCGGTGCGTCCACACGACCCAAAAAGCACCCTGGAAAAGACAGCCGCTAGTGTTTCACAAGGTATATCACGGGAAAACGTGAACGGGCGGTCAAGGCGACAGCGATAAAACAGTCTTCGAGCAAGCAAATCGCGGCCAACCATCGTTAAACGCACAAACACGCCGGGGCGACCACGCTCCCTATTCCCGCCACTGCGCCGCGAGACACGCTTCGGAGCAAACCCCAAGCCAAGCCCAGCGCAACGAATGGCGCGGCAGGCGCGGGGCCCGGGATCGGACCCGGGCACGAGGGCGCGAACTCGCACAGAGCAAAAAGACAAAACTGAGAAAATGATGCAAACCGAGCAAGCCTTGCGAAGGGTCGCACGGGGTAGCGACGGGGCCAACACCCAACGGCCAGGAAAGACTCCTAGCCAAGCCTCAAACCCACGCTAACTCAGAGGCGTCCTCCCGGCCGAACCCACGCCAACGGCCAAACGCAAATTTGAAGGCTGAAACTGGCGGCGAACAGGGGCGGGCGATGAAAACCAAATAACGGCGAGGAGAAACGGACAGGCGTCAACACGCACGTGCAGTAAACAGCATGGCTTGCACACTCGGAAACAAATGCGAAATGGAGCAGGTAGCGCCAGGTGCGCTCCGCGACGCGCTGCCTTTACCTCCGCCGAACGAGCGTCGTCTCGTCTCGTGGCTGCGCGTCCCGCTGCTCTCCTCTCCGCGTGCTCGCACCGGGAGCGCTCCTCGCCTCTGCGGCCAGGATCTGGAGAGGATGCCTCCGCCAGGAGCGCTGGCGTCGGTGTGCTTGCCTGACCATGACAAGTACCGAAACTTTCGGTCCAAAAGGCAAACGGCTGGCAGGATCAGGATCGTCCACATTTCACGCTGTTATCGCGGTAAAATTGCATACAGAGTGGAGACGATTAAAAAAAGAAATAATTCGACAGACTTAATGCACCTCATGAGTCGTACGAGAAACTCTTTCTATACTATTTAAATTACAGCTTAAGTGCGACATGATCACTATGTGGTCATGCTCGCATGTTAAATCAGAGGGAATGATGATAAAGTTCCCCCCATATGCAAAATTTTTACTACCAACAGTACTTAGTAAAAATAATGAGCATTGCACACATTTGGCACTATGTACTCTGTTGCAGGTCACCCACTGGCAAAGCCCGCACATGCACGCGTACTTCCCCGCGCTCAACTCGTACCCGTCGCTGCTGGGGGACATGCTGG